ACATGGCCTACACCAATACTGAGTGGAACCTCTCGGTTAATGGTGTGGGCCATGTGTGAGGTTGTTAGTTGTGTGCCTGGACCGGGAATTGAACCGGCGATCTCCAATGCCTAGGGCAACACCAATACCACTTGGCCAAGAACCTCAGAGCTAAATTTTTTGTTTTAGTCATATTTATACCCATCGTGTTATTCATTCTGTCTATATATATATAAAAGCACAACATTAACCAAGGAGTTCCACAATCGTGCTCCTGCAGGGCAATATGGGAGGTTGTTAGTTGTGCCCAGACCGGGAATTGAACCGGCAATCTCCAATGCCAAGGGCTACACCATTACCACTTGGCCAACAACCTCACAGCTAAATTTTTTGTTTTAGTCATATTTATAGCCATCGTGTTATTCATTCTGTCTATATATATATAAAAGCACAACATTAACCAAGGAGTTCCACAATCGTGCTCCTGCAGGGCAATATGGGAGGTTGTTAGTTGTGCCCAGACCGGGAATTGAACCGGCAATCTCCAATGCCAAGCGCTACACCATTACCACTAGGCCAACAACCTCACAGCAAAATTTTTTGTTTTAGTCATATTTATAGACATCCTTATATTTCGAGTGTGTATGTATAAAAGCACACCATTAACTGAGAGGTTCCACTCAGTATTGGTGTAGGCCATGTGTCAGGTTGTTAGATGTGCCCTGACCGGGAATTGAACTGCCGATCTCCAATGCCAAGGGCTACACCATTACCACTTGGCCAACAACCTTTCAAAGGAATTTTTTGTTTTAGTCATATTTATAGACATCCTTATACCTAGACTGTGTATGTATAAAAGCACACCATTAACCGAGAGGTTCCACGCAGTATTGGTGTAGGCCATGTGTGAGGTTGTTAGTTGTGTGCCTGGACCGGGAATTGAACCGGCGATCTCCAATGCCTAGGGCAACACCAATACCACTTGGCCAACAACCTCAGAGCTAAATTTTTTGTTTTAGTCATATTTATACCCATCGTGTTATTCATTC